AGCTTATTTCGATAAAAATTAAATCGATTAAACAGGACTTTAGTGTTGGTGCTGTATACTGTCCAACCAAATTGCAGCATTAAGAAAAATACTTTTAAAGATCTCCTGTACAAGCATGGACACAGATATCTAACAGGAGGTGACTATAATGCCAAACATACAGATTGGGGTTATAGAATCACCTCAACTAGAGGAAGAGAGCTAAGAAAAGCTATGCAAAAGCTAGGTTGTTGCTATCACTCCACTGGCACTCCTGCTTATTGGCCTACTGACACTAACAAGATTCCTGATGTTATTGACTTTTTTATAACCACAAAAAAATCAGAAAACTTTCTAAGCCTTGAAGATAACTATGATTTTAATTCGGATCACTCTGCTGTCATATTAAAACTAATTGAAAAAATTACATAAGTTTGGGCGAGCTTTAAATACAAAATAATAAACAATATTGACGTAAATATTAATATACAATCAAGAGAACAATTAGATGTGGAGTTAGAAGGATTTATTAAAATCATACAAAAAGCTGCATGGAACAATACAAAAATGTCAAAATACAAATCGACAGCAAATAGCTATCCTGGAGAAATAAGTGACTTAGTAGGTGAAAAGAGAAGGGCCAGACGTAGATGGCAACGTTCGCGTCACCCTGATGATAAAACTGTTTTAAACAGACTTTCTCAGGTGCTTAAAAGGAAAATCCAAGATTTTAAATCGGCAACATACGAAAATTATATAAAGAACTCGTCAGGTACGAAGGAAACGAACTATTCCTTATGGGAGGCGGCAAAGAGCAAAAAGAGAACGATTAGGCACGCTCCGCCACTGATGAAAGCAAATGGCAGTTGGGCGAGGAGCAATATAGAGAAGGCCAAATTGTTTGCTCACCACTTGGAAAACATATTCACGCCAAACGGAATAACCTCCGATGTAAGTTTGGTAGAATCTATTGCAAATGAAGCAGACAGCATAGCTCCACTTACTCAATTAGAAATTGCGGAAGATCCCTAAGGTTGAAAAAATCGCCAGGTTTTGATCTTATTACTGCGGAAGTACTGAGAGAGCAACCAGACGAGGCATTGGAACATCTGACAAAAATCATGAATGCAGCTATGGATTTTTGGTATGTTCCTTGTGGTTGGAAAGTCGCGGAGGTAATTATGGTGCAAAAGCCCGAGAAATCCTTGAGGGAAACAAAGTATTACAGGCCCATTTCACTGTTACCAATGATGTCTAAGCTTTTTGAATAGCTGCTATTAAAGAAATTGAAGCCAATAATAGAAAATAGGGACCTAATACCGAACCATCAATTTAGTTTTAGAAGAAACCATTCTACAATAGATCAGGTCCATAGAATAACGAATTTATAGAAAAAAGCTTGAAAAAAAGGGAAATCTGCTCTTCTATGTTTCTAGACGTAGCAAAGGCATCCGACAAGGTATGGCACAAAGGCCTTATACTTAAGTTAGGGAAAATGTTACCACTGTCATGTTGGGCCCAACGTTGTATCTGCTTTACACGAGTGATTTGCCACAAATAGAAAATGTTACGATGGCCACTTTTGCTGACGATACTGCAATATTGGGAGTAGAGCAAACATTGACGATTCGACAAAAATATTACAGGAGGCAATTAACAAAATAACCCAGTGGACTAGAGATTAGAGGGTGAAGTTGAACGAAGCAAAATCGGTTCACATAAACTTCGCCAATCGGAAAATAGTGAATCCACCACAAATTAACGTAAATGGAACGAATGTAGCGATCCATAACTCAGCAAAATATCTAGGAATGACCTTAGATGTCAATTTAAGGTGGAAAGAGCATATAAAGAAGAAACACATAGAATTAGAAAATAAATATAGAGAAAATTATTGCAGGTGATTTTTTAGGGTAGGAGTCACGCTCCCTTACTGTCGAAGAAAAAAGGCAGATAGAGCCGTCCTTCTGCATCTTTCGAGATTTTTTCACCCATTCAAATGTAAATATCATATGAAGTTACTAAAAACAATGAGTTCAAAAAATTTTTTTTCAAAAAGAATTCTTATTATATATGTGTTTACTATTTTTGTTTACCTAAAAAACAAAACAAAGTACCGAAAACCTATTTTGTTACCTAAAGTTCATTATTTTAGCTTATAAGAACATGAAATTTCATTTTGTTATTTAAAAAAGAAATAAAACAATTTCTGTATAATATAATTTGTGTTTAATCGTTTTTTATTTTCCAAACATCCCAAATCACCATAAACATTTCTAAATAATACGAGAATACCTAATATAACAATATATTTCTTTACAAAAAGTACGATGATCCATTTTGAATACACCGTATTTATGGATTAGTAAATTGTGTATTACGAAGTCTTGGGAATAAAGATGCCTGTGGTATTACGCAAACTTATATAAGGATGTGTGACGGTACGTACATTTGCGTACATATCCTAATTATGTGAATATTTTAATCATAAACTGCTATAATGTACGAGACATGTTAAAATTTTTGTATTTGTGTCTATTGATTATTGTACAAAAAATTAACTATGGTATTCTTTAGTCCATATATAAATTTTGTACGGGAAGGCTGCGTCGCTGTGCGGTAAAATAATTTCTTTGCTGTTTAAAATTTAATTTTAATTTAAATTTAGTGAATTTTTCGTGTTATTAAATAAAATGAAGATTTATAATACATATATATAAATAAATTTTTTCTTTTGTCTGTCGTATTTTGTATGAAACAAAGACGGATTTTGAAAAAATAGTGTTAAGATTTATTTCAAAAGAAAAATCAATTAACAAATTAGTAAGATTTGGTGTACTTTTAAAGTTTTATTTGTATTTAAATAAAATATAATAGTATATTTGATTACGTCCATGTAAGTAGAAATGCCCCGAAAGTGTTGCCAGGTTGGATGCAGAAGCAATAGTCTACGAGAAAAGGAGAACGTAAATGCTATACCTAAATTTACTTTGCCAAAGAACGAAGTCATCAGGGACAAAATAATTTAATCAAGTACCTACTAATGTTAAGATTTTAACAATTTAAATAAGTATATAATTTAATCTCTTATAAAAGAAATTTGCAAAACTTTGTTAATTTAATTGAATACATAGGTACGTTTATATAATAAAAAAATCTGATGTGGTCAGCACATAACCGACCGCATTGTGTATTGTCTAGTTAAAAAAAAGTGTTACAGAATATTATAAAAATGTCTGTTAAATACTTCTTTTCAATTTTTAGGACATTAGTAGGCTTATAGTTAACATACTTAGAAAAATGTAAATTTGGCTCTTAGTAGAGTTTCGCTTTGTGCTTCCCGAATTCCCTGAAATGCTCGCCAGTTAGTTTCGGTAACAATAAGAACTCAAATATCAAATTCAAGAAATTCCATCAATTTGTTCTGTGGATATGGTGAAAAATGTAAAATCGGCCCGCAAATCAGTTCTCGAGCCCTGATGTTTCCAAAAAAGTTATATGTTTATTGCCTTAATATGAGGAATTCATATATTAAATTTCAATGAAATCGGTTGATTATTTCTCTTTATATGCACAAAAGTGTATGTTTGGCCCGTAGTAAACGTCTAGTTGCCGATGCCTGATCTTTCCAAAAAAGTTACATGTTCATTGTTTTAATACGGGGAATTCATATATTAAATTTCAATGAAATCGGTTGATTATTTCTCTTTATATACACAAAAATGTATATTTGGCCCGTAGTAAACGTCTAGTTGCCGATGCCTGATTTCTTCCAAAACATACGAATTTTTGCGGATGGTCGAGCTGGGCTTATATATAAAATTTCAAGTAAATCGGTTGAATACTTTCTTCGAAATGTTCAAAAATGTAAAACAGGCCCGCTAAAAAGTGCAGTTCCCGAGGCCTGATATATACCAAAAGTTGATCGATCCGTGCCATGGTGGAAACAAACTTACATATAAAATTTCATCAAAATCGGTTCAGCCGAACTTGAGATACACGCGTGCACACACAGACCGACAGACCGACAGACCGACAGGTTGCTAAAAATAGTTTATTTACACTTCCCTACTATGGAGAAGTACGTTCCCACCGAAAACTCGATATGCAAAATTTGTTGCCATCACATAACCTACCTATTGTTTACACAATACGGTCGGTAATGAATTGCTTTTCTCATCAAATATTACTAGTTTTAAGAAATATTGATTAAAAATTTTATTTTTTTATGTAAATATGTCAAGCAGTTTTTCAAAAACAACTTTGTTATGTATTTATTATTTTGGTTTTAACTGAAAAATATTTTGTTACCTGTAATTTATTATAATGTTATTTGTTACCTGTAATAAGTAACTAGTTTGTAAGAAGAAGAAATTTAATTTTGTTAATATTAAAATGAAATAAAATAATTTCTGCATATTTTTTGTATTTAATCGTTTTTTATTTTACAAACATCCCAAATCACCATATGAACATTTCTAATTTATTCGAAAATACCTAGTATAAAATATATTTCTTAACAAAGAGTACGATGAAACACCGTATAAATGGATTCAATACACCGTATAAATGGATTAGTAAATTGTGTATTGTCAAGTCTTATATAAAGATGTCTGTGAATGCATACAAACATACCAAAATAAAACAAAACAAGCCAAACACACAAAAGCAAAAAAAATTCTTAAAAAGTGAGAAAAAATTAAAGAAAGAGAGTGAGAATAAGAAAATAAACACAAAAGACTAAAATTGTTTTTATGTTCAAGCAATGTTTGGTATCTCAGAATTGATTTTTTAAGCTGAAATTTATCTTGTTGGTACATCTTTGTATTTTTAATGTCTTTGAATAAACGTGTAGATAACGCTTGAACTTGTCTTATTCGTTCATTAAAGATTAAATTGACTTATATAATTTTATATACGTATTTTTTATTAATATTGATTTTGTATATCGATATTTTTTTGCATTATGTACATATTTTTAAATTTAGTTTTTGAATATAATTTTAATTTTTTTCATTTAGTTACAGACATGATAGCAAGTCCATTTGAAACTCGATCAGATAGTTTTTATTTTGTTGAAGATCGTCTGATAATGCACAACAAAGCTGACTATGCATATGATGGAGGATTGTTGGTCTGAAGTCTAAATATTTAATCTTAACCTTGTACGCCACTGTAAGTTTAAATAAACTACAAAAATTATATAAAAGACATCCAAACTGATGTTAATTTTTGGTAATCTGAAATATGAGGAAAATTAAAATTTTCAGTTATGTAATCTAACAATTCTCAGGGCAAAAGAAACAAAATAAGTAACGAAGAATAAACTTTTGTGATACGTTTTCCTTAATAAGATTAAATGAAAAAGTGAGTGTCAAACACTAATATAAAGAATAGCTCACATAAATATTTTTATTTAACGTATACACTATGTATAGCAAATATATGTTGTAGGTTTAAAATATTACATTGCATATTTAGAATTTTAAAGAATAGCTTCTTTGACCGACACAATTCTGACTTCAATGATTTTACAAATTGGGTTATGTTTGCAATTGGCTAACTCGATGGTACTTCAAGAAAGTTTTCTTCAAAATAGTTTTTTTCATCAATTTTCATTAATACTTCCAAATATTTTCTTTTTATTTGCCAAGTTTGTTGTCATCAGACAGTTTTGATAATTTATTCGATTTAAGTAGAAAAACTCAAATGTTATTGCCAAAACGCCGCTTTGCTAAAACCGAATTAAAGATAAGACAAAAAAAATTGATGTGGTCAGCACATAACCGACGGCAATGTGTATTGTTTAGTTAAGTGAAAGTGTTACCGAATATTATAAAGATGCTGTTAACATGTTCCCGCCGGCTTGTACCATAAATGGTACATTGAGGGCTGTCCCATAGGTCGGCTTGTACCATTTATGGTACATACACAATTGTCCCATCGGGCGGCATGTACCATTAATGGTACAATGAAAGAAATCAATTTTATATCTATTTTTTGCTAATAAAAAGAAACAAAAATTTGCAAATGATCTTAGTTAAAACTATTTAAGCGGCTTAAATAAAAACATATATATTAGTTAGTGTAGTTCATTACATTAAAAAAAATTATTTATTTTCATGAGTCTTATTGAAGCAAGGTAAGCACAAATGTGGTTTGTCTTCACAAGCACTACAAAATGTTGTCACTCTTTTAGCTTTTTTTGCAGCTATAGAAGAACCCTTTTCCTGAGATAAATTTTTATAACACTACCTACATTCATTTCTGTACCCATAGTGGATATTCTAATTGGTTGTAATAAAAATAGCAAATAATTAAAATAAAATTTTGTAATAACTTATATATTACTTTCATAAAAATCTCACAATAAAGAGCACAATAACTATAAGTTCTCGTTATCAAAAATCAAATAAAGATATTAAATATTAGCGCGATTACTTTAAAATTGCATGTAGCAGGTTTCATCAGTGACTTTGTTCTGAACGTAATCGCATATCTCTCATTGAGAGAAAGTCACAACAGCGCAGCGCCGTCCGATGAAACAAACTAGGATTTACAGCGCCGTCAGATGGCGAGAAATACAAATTAGGCCGCCGGCGTGAACGTGTTAAATACTTCTTTCCAATTTTTAATATAGTTAACATTCTTACAAAAATGTAATTTGGCTCTTAGTAGAATTTCCCTTTTTCACCAGTTGATTTTGGTGGCAACTAGAACTCAAATATCAAATTTCAAGAAATTCCATCAATTCGTTCCGCAGATATGGAAAAAATGTAAAATTAGCCATCAGATAAGTTTAGGACCCTTTATATTTCCAAAAAATTTATGTGTTCATTGCTTTAATACGAAGAATTTAAATATTAAATTTCAATGAAATCGGTTGATTATTTCTCTTTATGTACGCAAAAATTTATATTTGGCCCGTGGTAAACGTCCAGTTGCTGACGCCTAATTTCTTCCAAAAGTTAAGAGGTTTTGCGGACGGTCGAGAGCAGCTTATATATAAAATTTCAAGTAAATCTATTGAATATTTTCTTCATAATGATCAAAAATGTAAAACCGGCCCGGTAAAAAGTGTAACTCGCGATGCCTTACATGTCCCAAGAGTTGACCAATCCGTGCCACAGTCGAAATAAACTTACACATAAAATTTCATCAAAATCGGTTCAGCCGAACTTGAGATACACGCGACTAATGTACTTTTTATTTTATTTAAAGAAAAAAATTCAATTTTTTACTTTTCTGATTTTGTTTTTATTTTATTCCTTTTTTCTCTCTTTTTATTAATAAAATAATTGTACATAGAATTTTGATTTTACACTTTTATTATAATTTTTACACTACACTTTTATTCTAATTCTTGCTTAAGCAAAAATTTAGGTGAACTGCACTGTTTTACAAACTGACTACAATTAAATTTTTGTTTTCTAAAAACGAACAGTTGCGTTGGATCAAATTTGCTTAGTATGCATTTTTAATATAAAATATTCCATGTGTAATTTAAATCATATTTTAATAAACAACTCGCAACGTGGTTAAATTACTCACGTTGTCTAAGCATTATAAATTGTCTCGGTTATTATATATAACTCTCCCTTCGTTAGGGTTAAGATTCTTCTGAATCTTCTTGTTGAAATTTGGTCCATCGCAATTGCTTTTACAATAAAACAAGATTATTACAATAGTTATTATCAGCATCATTATTATTATTGCTGTTAGTGTAATGAGATAAGTTGACAATGAATTTTTATTGTTTCTTAATTCAATAATTTGATTTAAATTTTTTTTTGTTTCTAATATAATATCATTGAAAGAACAAGATTGGTTAAAAGCTTTATAATTTAAATTTGGGATTATAAATTTATTTTTTGTTTCTTTAATATCATTAATAAATGTTTGGTTGTTTATGTTTATAGTACAGTTATAAAATTTTACGAAGTAATTACCATTTAAAACAATCTTTCTCTCGTCACAATTTGATGTTAAAATTACATTTTTTGCAAGTTCAACTATCATACTACTATCGTCGATACTAATTATTTTAAAGCTACAATTTTTTATTGTCCTACAATTTTTGTTCTGTACACAATGGTCTAATTCGTTCAATTGGTGAAGTGCTTTAGTTTCCTCATATTGGTAAAGTTCGTTATGAAATTCCAAGGTTTTTGTTATTGAAGTATCTATTAGTTTGCAATTATTTTCGTTAGCTAATGGTACTATTAACTTTTCGTTGATTGAGACTAATTTAAAAGGTATTTTGATTAGAAATACCAACCTATTGGTTGTGGTTCTTGAGAATCCTACTTTTAAGTGTTTGAGTTTATCTGCATTTATTTTAAAATTGATTATTTCGTCATGGTTTAGAAGAGAAGGATGAATGATGTTCAGGTTAGTTAGGATAATATTGTCTTGCAAATCTTCGATAAATTTATTTGTTTGTTGTATTGTTAATCTCAGGTCAAAAGCTGCAATTTTTAGAGTATTTTCGTTCACATTATTTTTAAGCAAATTTTGAAATAATTGTCTGTGTTGTTGAATATTTGTTAGTAATTTATTTATGGAGTTATTCAAGTTATTGTTAATTTGTATCTGTTGGTTTATGTTTTTTATAATATTATGGTCAATATGTTCGATTAGTTGAAGTTGTCGGTTAATAATTTGTCTGTCTTCGTCATCCATAGTTCCAGTCAACCATTTATTAATTGTTCCTAAGAAATTAGCAAGTCCTCGTTTTTGAATACTATGATGACCAAAGTAGCTAATTAGTCTTGTAAACCACCAATTTCATTGATTATTGGCTGGCTCAAATCTGTGCCAAGTAAAGAGGAACTTCTTTTTAATTCGCCTATTATATACTCCATTTCGTTTAAGTCAATTATATGTAACAAGTAGTTGAATGTTTTTGGTATTTGAATTTGGTCTTTTTGAATAATTGTTGACCCATTATCTGTTTCAATTTTCTCTATTTGAAGCTGATTTGACTGTACTAGAGGCAGTTTTAGAAATACTAGAAATAGTGTCATCGTCATTATTATCTGAAAATTTTAAAGTCGTTTAATATTAATAGGATGTACGTTGGTTAAGTTATATTTTCTAAATTTTGGTTCTTCTTTATGTCGTAGAGACTTATAATTTTTAATATAGCCTATTTTGCGATTTTCTGTATAATCTTCTCTATTTTTATTATGCTTAACTAATCGTTTTTCTTGAGATTTAATTAGGTTACTGTATATATTTTCATTTGAGACAAGGTTATTTTCCGCGTTTTCTGGTGTAGTTTTTATTGTACTATGATATAAAGTATTGTAATTTTTAATTGCGTTTAGCATTTGTATTCTAACAGGTAGTAATTCTTCTAAGTTTAATATTCGTAATTTTTCCGTTATAGTGTTATTTAGCCCTTCAACGTCAGAATTACCGGTATGGCTATTCGGTTTGGCTAAATGAAGTTCGATATTTTCTTGATTTAGGAATTTTTTAATATACATATTTTTAAACTCTCATTTTTATCAGCCACTAATTTTTACCGACCGTATTGTGTAAACAATAGGTAGGTTATGTGATGGCAACAAATTTTGCATATCGAGTTTTCGGTGGGAACGTACTTCTCCATAGTAGGGAAGTGTAAATAAACTATTTTTAGCAACCTGTCGGTCCGTCGGTCTGTCGGTCTGTCGGTCTGTCGGTCTGTCGGTCTGTGTGTGCATGCGTGTATCTCAAGATCTGCTGAACCGATTTTGATGAAATTTTATATGTAAGTTTGTTTCCACCATGGCACGGATCGATCAACTTTTGGTATATATCAGGCCTCGGGAACTGCACTTTTTAGCGGGCCTGTTTTACATTTTTGAACATTTTGAAGAAAATATTCAACCGATTTACTTGAAATTTTATATATAAGCTCAGCTCGACCGTCCGCAAAAATTCGTATGTTTTGGAAGAAATCAGGCATCGGCAACTAGACGTTTACTACGGGCCAAATATACATTTTTGTGTATATAAAGAGAAATAATCAACCGATTTCATTGAAATTGAATATATGAACTCCTCGTATTAAAACAATGAACATTTAAATTTTTTGGAAAGATCAGGGCTCGAAAACGGATTTGCGGGCCGATTTTACATTTTTCGCCATTTTGAAGAAAGTATTAAACCGATTTACTTCAAATTTC